TTTGAGATACAAGAAGTGCCTGTTTGTTACATGGGTATATTGTGTGATGCTGAGGTTTGGGGTTTTGATTCCATCACCCAGGGAATGAGCATAGTATCCAATAGATAGTCTTTCACCCCATACCCACCTCCCTTTTCCTCCCTCATCCACAGTGTCTATTCTTCCCATGTTTATGTCCATGTATGCTCACTGTTTGTCTCTCACTTATAAGTGAAGACATGCAGTATTTCATTTTCTGTTTCTGCATTAATTTGCTTAGGATTATGGTCTCTAATTGCATCCATATTGCTACAAAGGACATTATTTCATTCTTTTTTTATGGCTGCATAATATTTCATGGTTTATATGTACCACATTTTCTTTATCCAACCTACCATTGATGGGCACCTAGGTTGGTTCCATGTCTTTGGTATTGTGAAAAGCATGGCACTGAACATGCAAATACATGGATCTTTTTGTTAGAATAATTATTTTCTTTTGGTTATACACCCGGTAACAGGATTGCTGGGTTTAACGGTAGTTTCAAATTACTTGAGAAATCTCCAAACGGCTTTCCTTAGTGGCTAAACTAATGTACATTCCCACCAACAGTGCATTAATGTTCCATTTTCTCTGCAGCCTTGCCAGCATCTGTTATTTTTTGACTTTTTAATAGCCATTCTGACTGGTGTGAGATGCCAGCTCAGTGTGGTTTTGATTTGCATTTCTCTGATGATGGTGATGATAAACATTTTTGTCATATGTCCTTTTGGCTGCTTGCTTTTTTTTTTTTTTTTTTTTTTTAGTATTTGTTTTTTTCCTTTTTCCATTTTTTTATGGGGTTATTTGTTTTTCAGTTGTTGATTTAAGTTTCTTGCAGATTCTAAATGTTAGAAATTTGTTAGATGCATAGTTTGCAAATATTTTCTCCCACTCTGTAGGTTGTCTGTTTACTGTGTTGATAGTTTATTTTGCTATGCACAAGCTCTTTCATTTGTTGTCACTTGTCAATTTTTGTTTTTATTGCAATTGCTTTTGGGTACTTAGCCAAAAATTTTTTGCAAAGACCAATGTGGAGAAGGGGCATTTCCTAAGTTTTCTTCCAGGATTTTTATAGTTTGATGTCTTACATTTAAATCTTCAATCCATCTTGAGTTAATTTTTGCATATGATGAAAGATAAGGGTCCAGTTTTATTCTTCTGCATATGGCTAGCCAGTTATTCCAGTACCACTTAATGAATAAGGCATTCTTTTCCCATTGCTTGTTTTTGTTAGCCTTGTCAAACATCAGATGGTTATAGGTGTGCAGCTTTATTTCCGAGTTTTCTTTGATGTTCCGTTGGTTTATGTGTCTGTTTTAATACCATCACCATGCTGTTTTGGTTACTGTAGCCTTATAGCATAATTTAAAGTCAGGTAGTGTAATGCTTCTGGCTTTATTCTTTTTGTGTAATATTGCTTTGACTATTTGGGTTTTTTTTGTTTTATTGAATATTAGGAGAATTTATGTCTATTTCTGTGAAAAATGACATTGGTAGTTTTATAGGAATTGCACTGAATTTGTAAATTGCTTTGGGTAGTGTGACCATTTGATTCTTCTGATCCATAAGCATGAAGTGTTTTGTTTGTTTTGTTTTCATTTATTTGTTTTATCTCTGATTTCCTTCCTCAGAGTTTTGTAGTTCCACTTATAGAAATATTTCACCTCCTTGGTTAGCTGTATTCCTAGGTATTTCATTTTCTTTATGGCTATTGTGAGTGGGATTGTGTTCTTGATTTGACTTTCAGCCCAGAGTTGTTGGTGTTTAGAAATGCTACTAATTTTTGTATATTGAATTTGTGTCTTGAAACTTTATATTAAAGTCTCTTATCAGTTCTAGGGCTCTTTTGGCAGAGTTATTAAGGGTTTTCTAGGAATAGCAGCATATTTTCAGTGAAGAGAGAAAGTTTCATGTCTTCTTTTTCTGTTTGGAAGGCCTTTCATTTTCTTGCCTGATTACTCTGGATTTCCAGTACTATGTTGAGTTAAGAGTGGTAAGAGTGGTCATCCTTGGCTTGTTCCAGTTCTCAAAGAGGATAGTTCCAGCTTTTGCCCATTTGGTATGATGTTGGCTGTGGGTCTGTCATAGATGGCTCTTATAATTTTGAGGTATGTTTCTTCTATGCCTCAAAAGGCATAGAAGTTTGTTAAGGGTTTTTATCATGAAGGGATGTTGAATTTTATTAAAAGATTTTCCTGTATCTATTGAGATGAACATATAATTTTTGTTTTTAATTTTGCTTGTGTGGTGAATCACATTTATTGATTTGCATATGTTGAAACAACCTTGCTTCCCAGGAATAAAGCCTACTTGATTGTGATGAATTAACTTTTTGATGTGCTGCTGGATATAGTTTGCTAGTATTTTGTTGAAAATTTTTGTGTCTACGTTTATCAGGAATATTGACTTGAACTTTTTCTTTCTCATTTTGTTTCTGCATGATTTTTGTATTGGGCTGATACCAGTTTCATAGAATGAGCTGGAGAGGAGCGTCTTCATTTTAATTTTTTGGACTACTTTCAGTAAGATTGGTATTAGTTCTTTGTACATATGGTAGAATTTGGTTGTAAATCCATCTGATCCAGTGCTTTTTTGGGGGGGTTAGTATGTACTGTATTACTGATTCAAGTTTAGTCTATTCAGGATTTCAGTCTCTTTCTGATTCAATTCTGGGAGATTTTATGTTTCCAGAAATTTATTCATTTCCTCTAGATTTTCTAATTTGTGTGCATAGAGTTGTTCATAGCAGTCTCTGAGGATCTTTCGTATTCTGTGGGATTAATTGTAATGTCATCTTCGTCATTTCTGATTGTACTTACTTGGATATTCTCTTGTTTTTCTTTTTAAACCACCCAGCAATCTATCTTGTTTATTCTTTTAAAAAATAAAATCTTGGTTCCATTGATTTTTTTGTATCATTTTCCTGCTTTTTAAGTGGCAGTGTGTTTTTGTTTTCTTTGTTGCTACTGAGTTGTAGAAGTATCTTAAACATTTTGGGTCTTATCTCTTTATCAGATATATAGTTTATAAATATTTTTCTATTTTTTTAAAATTGTAGTGCTTAGAATAAATCTTGAGTATAATATAACATGGAATTTGGGCACATTTTTGCTTTAGGGGCTTGAGATTTTAAACTTATATATGAAATAAGGTAAATGTTAACAGTTGAGTATATTTAATTAAAAAATAATTATTGATTATCTACTGTATGAAAGTCACTACCTTGTGATTGTGAATAGAAAAGAGTGAGCAGAGAGTAATGAGACAATCTCTCCATCCTTAAGGACCTTACAGTTCAATGGAGGAGGGAGAAATTAAAGAAGAAACCAGCAAAATATTATTTATATAAAACAGAGGCATGTTGTATTAGGAATAAATCAGAAGGAGAAATTAATTCTTCCAGAGAGAATAAAGTTCCCCAAATAAGACTGATTCATGAGTTATCCTTACATACGAAATAAGGTACAAGCTATCAGTTGAGGTATGTTCCTTCTATGCCTAGTCTATTGAGGGTTTTTATCAACCCTTTGCCAAGGTCTAAAAGTATCAAAGTGTAAGAATTCAGAGAAGGATGGGCTGACAGTGCCAGACCCATGAGGTATATGGTAATAAATAATTCTGGAGAGGCAGTTTGGGATTAGATCATGATTTCTTGGGCTTTTGAATATTATTCTAATCACAGCACAGAGACTTGTGAGGAAATGAGTGGCATACACTGATGACCAGTTTGGGGACTGAGTGATGGAAGGGATAGGAGTTTGTGTTATAAAGTAAATTTAATTAGGGCGTATCCACTTATTTATTCCACAGACAATTATTGAGCACCCAATAGTTGCTGGTGATACTCAATCTAATAAAATTTAGCTTCCACCATTGAGAAGCTTTTGACCTAGTGAGGGAGATAGTGTCATGTAGTCACTGCCATGATAGTGGTAACACAGGGTACATTTAAACTGAAGCATAGAAAGCCTAATTTGCCCAAGGTCACACCACTAAGCCAGTTGCATAGGTAAGCCATGGACTCAGCTGTGCACTTCAGGGTCTGTGAGCTTACCTACTCAGGTAAGCTAGATTCAGAGACATACATTTGGATATGAGATATGGTGAAGCCAATGACTTTACTAGTCACTCTGACCTCATACCCTGGCCTGAGAAGTATAATTTTATACATGTAACTTCATCTACCCTGTTTATGCAAACCTGGGGGAGCAGGATACATAAGAGCTAACCAAGAGATCAGAATCCCTGGTTCTGAGCCTAGTTTACATCTTTCTACCTACAACTACGCTCACTCATTAATTCATTCATTCCACAAATATCTTGAGCCCCTAGTGTTCCAGGCACTTTCCCAGGTACTGGGAATGTAGCAGTGAATCAGAAAGATGCAGCCCCTGCCTTTTCTGGACCTTACACTTCAGTGAGGAAAGTGAGACATGACACATATCTACAGAAACAAAGAAGCAAGATCATTTCATAGAGAGATAAGTGCTATAAAGGTGATGAAGCAGGGTAATGGAGGAGAGAGTGAACACTGCAGTGATGGGAGATGCAACTGCAGCTGGACATTTGACAAAAGCTTTTCTCCAGTGTGTCGTTGGTGCTGAGGCCACCGGCCGTGTAGGAGCCAAGCTACGCTAAGCCTTAAGGGACAGTGAGCACACCATGGCCAAGTGTCCAGATATGTGATTAAATTGCTAAGGCAGGATAGGGTCATGAGAGAAAAGGAATGGGTGGCAAGAATAGGTCACCTTCTGGGGAAGACGTCTTCACCGTCCTACTAGCCAAAAACTGTGCTTTGACCTTCCTCTCTCACCCTCCCAGCAGGAATTTCTCACCACCAGAGCCAGTGTCTATGACTTGCTATGCCTTAGTGAGCATCAAGTCATCTCTGATTCTCAGCTTTCTGCTTTAGTCACTTGACCCTTTTTCACCAGAATGCCTATGACAGTACATTTTCAAATTGCTCTTTTCTCCCCCAGGGACGGAGGGACAAAATACCAAGAAGGAACCAGATTCTGCCAGTTACAGAGTGTTGACAACACGCTGTCATGCTGAAAAGGCACACTCAACTCCAGAAAAGTGAGTCTGTCCACAGTTTCAAGTTTCAGTTCTGTTATGTCGCCTTACCACTGGCCAATTTTATGCCAATAACGAGTGGATTGACTTTAGTGAGTACTTCTACTGTAAATCTAAGAAGATCAGAACTTAAAATATAGAAAAAGGAGACTCTGGTGTAGCATAGGGGAGATAAATAAACCCAGGGTGGTGGGAGTGTGGGCCTGAACACACCAAGCCGTTAGCTTACTTTCAGTTTTGCAGAAAGTCTGCAGGTGCTGAGGGAAGAGCTGCTGAGCAGCTTCTCAGGGGAACACATCTTCCTGAATGGTTTCCTGCCATTCCTGGGTGGTCCTGAATGAGCTGGCGGTGGAGACACAGAATGTCTGTGGTTCTTAAAAACCTCAGCGCAATTTTCAAAAGGGAAGAGAGTCCCACCCAGAGTCTTAAATTAATTTTGACTGACATCCAAACATTTTGTGCCTTTCTAACACAGGGCCAAAATTCCCTCCTTTTCCCACAAAGATTTTCAAATTGCTCTTTAGTGTCTCAATGAAACAGCTGTGCAAAGCCCAAGCCAATTTTATAAGTAGCAGCAGCATGGCTCTGTTGGAGCATAACATCCCTGACCATCTGCCTGCAGAATTACACACAAGACACTTATGGTGTGGAAAATACTGGATCGTAACCCTCTCTTCCCTGTCTCCATTCCAGCCAACTTAGATCACCTCTTGGTTGCAGCTTGGAACTTTTTGGAGATTAGGGGTGGGGTGGTGGAGAGAGACTTTTATTTATAATGAGATATAAGGTTTAATGTGGAGGAGGAACTCTAATCTCAAACATATCAGTTAACTATGTAATGTTTTTGATGAGGAACAGGCTTTGAGAGGGGAGAAGGAAGAGAGGACAGAAGAACTCAATTGGTTAAATAGGCCCTAATAAGCAGGGGGACATGAGAAGCTGAAGATCCAGAATACACAACCTTTCCACTTTGCAAACCGGTGGAATTCTGTTTGTTCCCCCGCTTCTTGCTAGGCAGAGAGATTCTACTTAGTTCCACTCCCGTACATTTTTGTGTGGTCAAACCCCTGCCTCAAGAATGAAAACCAGTATTTCATTCTAAACTCCTTAGAAACAGTTTTATCTATATAATTCAGCCCTAGAATATGGGGTCAGTAATACTGAGCTTCCTGCTCACACTTCAAGGTACCTAATAAATGCTTGTGTGCTAATGAATACCAAGGAGAAGGTTTGACTATAGGTGTTGAGACTGTCAAAAACGGATTCAGGGTTTTGAGCTAAGTACTTGTTAGAAGCGGTACTATGCCTGTCTTACCCATAGAATCATGCCTTTCCTGAGTGATATTTTGATTGTTCTTATTTTGCACCACATTAATTTGTTTGGGTAATACTTACACATAGTGTGTCATTGGTGAGAGGAATAAAAGATACTCAACCTTTCTGAATTATAAATCAATTAATGAGAATAAAGTAAAGTTGAGATGTTAAAACTTCTTTAGATAACAGGTCAGGTGCATTTTTTTCAAAATATATGCTCTTAGCATGGTGCCTTGATTTAGTGGCCTGATTCGATTCCCCCAGTATCTTATCTTCTCCCTAGCTGGCTGTCCTAGCCCAACCTTTTAGGTCCTGTGTTCTCAGTCCTCTTAAGTTAACAGGGGAGCCCCTCAGTCTTCTTTGTCTTATATTTATATTGACAAAAAGTATTCCCCGTGCTGAAGTCTTTCCCATTATTTTTACTGTATTTCAGGAAATAGAAATGTAGCATAGTCAGTGGCATTGGCTACCTTCCTACTGACCTAGAGAATAACGACTTTCCCAAGGGTGTAATCAAATATGAATGTGCCAGGATAAGCCAAGATCCTGTGCCTGCAAGAACTGTTATGTGGCACTAATCATTGATGAAAGTGTAAGCAGATCTTTCAGCCAGGACAAGCACCAACTGACCCAAGTGCCAATAGTTTTTGATGGAGTCTATGAAAAGTATCAAAGTTAAAGTGGTCACTGATGAAACCCCAAATAAAGCCAACATGAAAAGTCTTTAGAATTCACCAGTACCTCCTACAGGCAGGAAAAAGAATGTTCAACATGTAAGAAAATACTATTCTATTTCGTTTTTATTTTTTAAGGTACAAGTCACAAATATATTCCCTTATTATTACTATTAAAGTTTTCTCTAGTGTATTTCAGTAACAGAAGGCTGTTATTTTATTTGATTCCATTGTTGGTTATGGCTTGAGTCCTACACACCTTTCCCTTTCACCTCGAAGGGAGCTCCTTGGTGTGAAGCCAAACACTCATTAATAGTGTAAAGATCAGATTGGATCTACTCCCAGATCTTCTCCTTATGATTCATCTGCTTGTTGAGCTCTCCAGGGAAAGCATCAAAAGTAATTCTGTCTCCAAGGACAGACCCATTAGGAGAAGCCAAGATTTCAACTTTCTCTGATATGTGAACAAGCACATATCACTATTGCTTGAGATAGTACTTGCCTCACATTTGCAGGTTTCAGGTTTCAAAGTAACCTCTCCAGATTGGGAGCTGTGGGAAGAAGGTTACGCTTTCTTGTTTGCACATTGCCCAGGACAGATATTCTATATAGCACAGAGCTGGGGTGAGGATAGGGGGCAGTAATAGAGCGGAGATTGGCTCAAATGCTTCAGAATCTCACAGTTCTTATCAAGATTTAGTAGAGATTTTTTTTTTTCTTGAATGAATATTTTTCCATTTGCAGAATAGCTTTAGGGCAATTTCCAGATATTTTAAGTGATTGTGGGATTTTAAAAATACTTCTTCACTAGATAGATGCTTTTCCGTTGGGAACAGATCTTCCCTATCATTCTGTACTTGATCCTTGTCGTATTTTTAAATTAAATAAATGTGTTATTAATGCTCTGTTATGAATGAGTAAGTGACTTCTCTATGCCTCTTTGAACAGCAGTTTTGTTTGCCTTGTAAAGCTGTCTGTATTACTTAGGAAAAAGTACAAACTGATCAAATGTGTACTGATTTAACAGTGTGGGAGTAGCAACAAAAAAATGCTAAATTTTTTAGTACTCTGAATTTTGTCAAATAGTCCAGCCTCTTGGACTGTATTGTACTTCATTCTTTCAGATGAAGATGATAATCTCCAGCTTCTCAGAATGTTAGTAAGACAAACTAATTGTGAAGTAATTAATATAGGGTCATTGAAAGATGATAGAGTTCAATTAGAGTGACTTAGTTTCAAAACCTTGGCTTTGTCACTGACTGTGAGCATTTTGTCAAGTTACTTTACCTTTGCAGGCCTCAGTTTCCCCATATATGAGAGTAATGATGGCTATCTCAATCAAATGTTGGTATCACATGAAATAATTTATACAAATGCCTAGTATATTGCCTTACACAGAGTAGGATAAAGGTTGTCAAGCATTACTATGTTTATTATTATAATAAATAAACATATTTAAATAAATAATATTTAATATAAATAAATCATAAATAAATAATAATAATTATTATAATAAATATTATAATAAATCATTTAGGCAGTGAATCATACAAGTACCCTAATTCTATCAGTTAGGATGCTTTGGATGCAAGTAGCAGAAAAATCAGCTCAAAGTTTCTTTCTTACAAAAAACCCAAAGATGGAGGAGTTTCAGGGTTGGTTATGTTACCGACTCAAAATTGTCATCAAGCACCCATGTTTACTCAGTCTTTCAGTTATGTTATCCTCAGAGATTTTCTTGTTGTCTAGGATAAATTCTTTTCAAGACCAAGATGACAGCTATAGTTCCAGGCATCACAATAGGTTGCAATGTCCATGGGTTGAGAAGGAAATGTCTTTGTCTTTGGTTCTTCCTTTAGAACAAAGATAACTCTTCCAAAAAGTCCCCAGGAGTCTTTTGGTCAATTCTCATAAGGCAAAATTGTGTCATATGCCCATTCTTAATCCATCATTGACAAAGGAATGTGGATGAACCCTGTTGGATTAATGAGATTAATATAGATTCGTCCTTCTCCTTCAGAGATGGGTAGATGCTCAGCCTCCCTAAAGCAGCTAGTGTTCTATTATCTGAACACAATTGGGTTTCTAAGAGCAAAATAGGGAAGAAGAGATTTGGGTAGACAAGGAATAGAATTTACTATTCTAGAGGTTAGAGGACTCAGAGATGAATAAAATGCTTAATCTTCAAGGAAACTATGGCTTATTAATAATATTATTACAACAATTATGCATTCTGTTAGTCCATTTGTGTTGCCATATAGGAATGCCTGAGGCTTAGTAATTTATAAAGAACAGAGGTTTATATGGCTCACAGTTCTGCAGGCTGTGCAAGCAGCAGGCTGTACAAGCAGCATGGCATCAGTACCTGCTTCTGGTGAGGCCTCAGGAAAGTTACAGTCAAGGCAGAAGATGAAGGGGGAGCTGGAGTATCACATGGCAAGAGTGAGCAAGAGAGAGACAGAGGTGCCAAAGTCTTCCCTTCCCAAAAGTTCCCCCAAAGTCTTAACTCATTCCATCATTAACTCAGAAGTCCAAAGTCTCATTTGAGACCCGAAGTATGTTTCTCCAGCTATGAGCCTCTAAAATAAAAAAAAAATTAAAATTAAAAAAAACAAGTTATCTACTTCTAAGATACAACGGTTGTATGTGCATTGGGTAAAATATTCCCATTTCAAAAGGGAGAAATTGGCCAAAGAGAGGGGCAACAGGTCCCACACAAATCCAAAACACAGACAGGCAGATATTAAATCTTAAAGCTCTAACATAATCTTTCGCTCTGTGTCCCACATCCTGGGCACACTGGTGCAGGGAGTGGGACATGGCCCTGGACAGCTCTGCCCTGTGACTTTGCAAGGTGCAGCGTCTATGGCTGCTTTCATGGATTGGAGTCCAATGCCTGTGACTTTTCCACACTCAGGATGCAAGTTACTAGTGGCTGTGCCATTCTGGGGTCTAGAGGGCAGTGGCCACCTTCCCACAGCTCCACTAGACAGTACCCCAATTGGCACTCTG